CCAGTCAATTTTTAGCTGCGCTGGTGGTTGCCAACCGGTGGTGGGAAAGGCCGTCAAGTCATTCGACCAAATTCACGCAAGCAGGTGTGGTAGTTTCAGCTGGGAATGACAATGAGTGAGGCGTGTGAGCTGTTGGCGAGCTGTTAGTGGGTGGAAGCAAAAGAAAACGGCAAACTGCATCAAACTGCAGTTTGCTGAATCAAGGTCTCAAAGACTCTTAGACTTAGACTTGCCTTTGTACCATATGGAACCATATGGAATCTCACATGGACTTGCAGAATCAAGTTGACCCTCAGCCTCAATTGTAGTACATCCGAAAGAAGAGCGACCTGTATTGACTCCAGCCCTCAAAACCGCCACAATTCATTCATTCACGATGCATATCCAAGCTGTTCGGCGGTTACCACAATCACGCCCAAAATGACCCAGTGAATTTTCAGCATCCTGGATATTGAGGGACAAGCACTGCATGGCAGATTTGTACATTGCATTTGGGGTGGTTGGTAATTAAAGGCTCGATGCAGGCCATTATGCAGGCCGGCGTGTTCCTCGTGTTCAAAGTAATCAATCCTAATTTCACTGAAATCATGGCACCCATCGATCATTGAAGAAGGTCTCCACGCTTCCATCTAAAAGCGTCGACATCCACCCTCGCAAACTCTGGCCTTGGATGTCGCCGCCGCCTGGATGTGACCAGGAAAACGGGGAGTGACAGCCGGCGCCACGTTTGGAGCAAGGCGACATGAGGGGCACACGAACACGTCGCATTCCCATCTCAACCTGGGAGTACTGCCTCTTTGACGTGAAGGTTCTCAGTGAGAAGCTTCGTGAACAATGTCATTCAAGGACAGGACAGGACAGAACACATGAAGCTTTTGTGTATAAGTGAAGACAAAGGGCGGCTAGCAAGGGTGAGCTGTAAAAGTATCAGTATCGTCCAACATCAACTCGTCAAATGGGAGGGAATAACAAAGAGCTTTCGCACAAATATTCCGACACACTAATAGTTTCATGGGTGGGAATACAACAAAGTTTTTGCACTAGAGTAGTTTTTTTTGTTGAGGTCTGCTTTGTATAATGATTGATGCTATCTTAATGATATTGGTATGATTTGACCCGCCCCCCACCACCACAACCACCACCACCACGACCACTACTATCCTATTACTATTACTACTACTACCACTACCAATACGACTACTACTACTACTACTGCTCCTGCTCCTGCTCCTACTCCTACTACTACTATTCTTACTACTACTACTACTACCACTACTACTACCACTACCACTACAACTTCTCCTACTCCTACTATCTACCTACCTACCTACCTACCTACCTCCCTTCCTACCTACCTACCTACCTACCTACCCCTACCTACCTACGCCTACGTACCTACGCCTACCTACCTACGCCTACCTACCTACGCCTACCTACCTCTACCTACCTACCTACCTACTAACAACTAACTAATTGCTACTTGCTACCTACTACCCACTACTAGCTTTAGTGGGCTCGACTCTAGTCAGACTCCCAAGTTTGTTTGCTACCGAGGGTTAGGGGATTTGCTATTCAAGATCGAACATTCAGAACCCAACCCACTCACGCAAAAGAGATAACAAAAAGAGACCCTGGAGGTCCAACCATGACCGAACCATGGTGGTCGAGTGCGGTGAAGAAACGATGAAGTTCTCAGGTGTCAAATCCCCGTCCCATGCGGTTCTGAGGATACAAACCTGCATCACTTTACAGGGAGGAACGCGAGTTTCACACACGGTCGTCCTATGAGAAAAGAGCGACAAACATGACCAGATATGTCCATGGAACCCGACAAGCGTTTCCTACTAGGGCAATCACTTATGCACAGCTGGAATTACAGGTTCCAGGCACTGATTCAGTGATGACCCACAGCAAGGACATTGTTTGGCCCAATGTTGCAGGCCCAAAGACCCTGTTTAACTGTAAAACCTGGTCTAGTCGTCTTCGTGATGTTTTTGTATGATCAACTCCTGTGAAGTGAGGTCTTCGACCGTTGGAATCGTTGGAATCCTACTAGTGTCATGCAGGTTTTGGGGCCTGGCATTCATTTTCATGCACGAAAGCATTAGTTTGAGGTCGTGGGGTTGCCAGGGATGGACTTTATGAGAAGTGGCTCAGAATGAGGTCAACTCCCGAAGGCTCGTGAAAAAAATGCCCAGTGGAACATGATCCTCTTTACGAAGGAACCGGACAAATCTCCTACGAACCGGAGTGGAATGATGTGGTTGGCTTCGGTGTTTGCATTGGGACATGCTTTGCTTTGCACAAGACTCCAGCTAATGTTCATGGTCAGTCCCTCTGAGTCGTTCACGACTCCCGAAGCTCGTGCTGTGACGACAGACGCGGTCGAGTCATGTTCCATGTTCCAACACTCCAGGTATTCCTGGTGAAACAACAGAAATCAACCTGCCAAGCCACAGAACCTCATGCAATCATGTCAAGCCCCTGCCAGACTCTCTAATCATGCATGAGTAACCAACTGAAAGGTTGGTTTAAAAAGAATGGTATCTTTCCAAAGGGCATCGCTACTAGGAACAAGTGCCACGCTGGTAGTAACAGGTGCCTTACTAGTAGTAACAAGAAGCTATTAGAAACAAGTGCATCGCTACTAGGAGTTTGGGACTCTTTCCTCTTTCCCGTCCCAGGACTTCGACTTAGCTGCCGGGCCCCAGGACTCCACTTGGCACGCTCCGGGACCTGTCCCCGTGTCCACCGTTACAGTCCACATGGGTTAGGGTTTGGGGTTTGTTCTGAAAGTCACCTGACTGAAAGGCTTTTAGAATCTTTGATTTTCCCATGGTTCTTATTAATGTTTGTTAGTCATTGCATCTACTACTGCTTAACATATTCAAGGACATCCAAGCAGGTGTCTTAATACATGAAGGAACATCTTGGAACTTCCCAGCAAAACATGTTTTTGTTTTTGGCTTCAAAACTGATGATCTCTGGTTGGTGGTACTTCCAAAGCCCCAATTACTACTTGACTTCCGTACCTGCCTGCAGCAAGACTCCTGGATGGAGTCCAACCATCAGTATTTCAATTTCCTTTGATGGCCTTAAATTTTAGTCTAACATCCATCCGTGTGAATTCTGAACATATTGATCAAGCAAAAATAATGTTGACCAGACCCCAAATAACACATATTGCGTCTCAACAATCAATAATACATGGACCCCAAATAGAACTGTTTTTTTTGTGCGGACCCTGTTTTTTTTTTCAGCTGCTTCCAAACCTTGTTTCTGGATGTTCAGCTCCTCCAACCCTGATGGTGGATTTTCAGCATGCATGTTCCTTCTAAAATTGTTTAACATTTTCATTTGGGCCTTGCCGTTGGTAATCTGAAATCAACCCACGACTACCCCTCACAAGCAGACTAAACAAACCCTGGCCTGGCTGGTTCTTTTGGTGGTGTCCTTTGCAATTTCTTTAGATGTCCTGTTCATGCCTTTCCTTTGACTATAATTTCAATTAATGTCCCTTTTCTGTCATTTTCTTTTCTTTTCATGTCCTTTTAGGTCCTTTTCTTTTCCTTTCATATCCGTGTCTTTCCTTCATGTGTTATGTTCATTTCATTGTCTTTCCATTCACTTTCCTTTTGTTTCATGTTATCATTTCATTTCCTTTATTTATTTTCCGTTTACTTTACTTTCCCTTTCCTTTCCTTTTCTTATCCTTTCGTTTCTTTTTCTGTCCTATTCTTTTCCTGGCATTTCCTCTTGTTTCCATTCGTTTTCCTGTCATATCCTTTTCTGTCCTTTCATGTTCCCTTCATTTCCTCTTCTTTCCTCTCATGTTCCTTTTACAACTCCAGATTCTTCTGGATGTATCATTCTTCAGAGTTTGCACTTGATCAAGGGGAGGGGGGGGTATTCATAGGAGGTGGACATTAGGCGGCAAACGATCGTTCGTCTTGCGAGTCTTTGGGGCGGTTCAATCATG